GGGCCGGGAATCGAACCCAGAACCTTTTTGCTGCAAGGCAACAGCTCTACCAACTGCGCCACTGCTGCACAGTTTCAGACACACAAAAAAACAATTTCTAATGTTCAAACCTCAGCATTAAAGATGTACTAGAAGTATTTCTCATCACTCTCTTTGCCTCTTGCGGCACGGCAGAACGTGCAGATTATATGAGACAATGCTGGCAGAGTAATATACGTGCCAACTTTTAGTTCTACATTTCAATTTTATTCTTTTCAGGAAACTACTGAATTTTAACACAGGCATCAAGCTGAACGTAGATGTTTTCCAGCTTCATTTTGATGCGCAGACAGCAGGAGTTTGAGAGAATTCCAGCTGCCAACACCAGGCATTTGTCTCACCAGCTCTCTGACTTGACAATTCCTCCTCCTCAATTTGAAAGCTTCCTTGCTCTCCCCCCCCACTGCCTGCCGCGACACGATTCTGTGTGGGTGAATATCAATTAAGGGGATCACTTTTAAATAATTTGTGCGGAACGAAACGGTTGGAGAAATATTTTTGCATTTAGAATGGACACCCACAATTCCTGAGTGATTCAGGAAGAACTCATTTTTTTTTATTTTTTTCCCACTTCACACCGTCTGAGTTTGTGTGAGAAATTTTAACATTTTCTGTTAATTTTAGAGATGAGAGTAAGCCAATGCCTGCTCTGCGACTAACAGTCATATAATGGAGACACTGTGAAGAAATTGCAATTAGAATTTTAATTGCACATCTTGTTGTTTAACCCAGTTTGCAAATAATTATTTTATAACCTTTCAAAAAGTACCGGGGAAACTGACAGGAGGAAAAAAAAAAAAAAAAAAAAACAACCTCTCAGTGAACTGTTGTATTGTCTAACTTAAAATGTCACAGAAACACTTGCAGCTGCAAAGTGAGGAAGTGAATATTTTTCAAGGTGTACTAAAAGTTATGTGCGGCACTGCATAAACAAAAAGAAGATTGGTCCTTTCGTATTTATTTATCGCATTATATGCTTGTTTAACGGGACAAAAAAACGCATCAACGTAATCCTTATTTTAATAATATTAGGAATATTTTCTTGTAATCATGCATGATCTGATTTTAGCTTAGGGTGTGTGCATGACGGGGTGGAGGTGGGGATGGGGAGGTTGTTCATGGCCAGAAAGGAGTGTGTTATGTTTTTCACTCCACTGAGAAAGATGGTGTTTTTTTTCTGTGTTTGCTTCTTTGAGAGGTGGGTGACTGTTCTTCTGCTTTTGAGTAGGTCAGGACTTATAGACGGTTGTCCCTTTTGTTCAGAGAAGGCATTTGTTTGGTTTTGTGATCTCATTTATCTTGTTGAGGTATTTTTGGTCACAATTTTATTCCAATTAGAGGTGTTAACCTGTTTTTTTTGTTTTTGTTTTTTTCTTTCAGGAGGCTAAAGTCACATTTGTTAATGAACTCTATCATCACCATCTCTTGGACACCATCTGGAGTCGCAACAATGGTAAAAGAGAAGAACTGTATCTGACGGTACTTTATAAAATTTAGTTTGAAAGCGATTATGACTGAGTCGTTTCCTTTTTAAGACATAAAGATGTTGACAAAATTGTTAGTGCTACTGAAAATTAACTGTTGAAAATCAGACATTACTTTTGAATTGTGGAATTTGATTGCAGTTACTGCCTCAGAGATGACGGCTGAGGGGTTTCTTTGTCTAGTGCGCCCAACTGAACTCAAATCGATCAACCAAGCAGTTGGACTAAGTAACTGGATAATGGAGGATTTCTTGCTCTTTTTTTCTTTGACTATTTGAACATTGAATGTCAGTAGGTTGTGTGTTCTTACATGATACTTAGAAAATGTCAGAATGGATGAGTGCACATAGGGTTTTTATTTTCTTTAATGCTGATGATTTATGGGCTACTTGGATATATGAAATATTACTTAAGATAAATGAATCATCTATCTATCTATCTATCTATCTATCTATCTATCTATCTATCTATCTATCTATCATTGTAGGCTTTTTGGTCATTATCAGAGGAGTACCAATAATTTTTGACTGCATGTGTAAATCCACAGATGATATCTAAATGAAGCAAAGTTTTTTTTTTTTTTTTTTGTGCAGCAGAGCTCTTTCCCATGTTTCATGGAATGTGATCAAATAAACGACCCATCTATCAAACAAGAGATTCAGAAAAGGTTAATATTTTTAGTACTTTAAAAGACAAGTTGACATTGAGGACAAATACTTTGTTCCCAGCTGATGTTAAGATAAAAGCTCAGGTAGCAACGAAAGCCTTTATTTTTATTTTTATTTTATTTTTTTTTTAAATCTACGTCATCCAACAAACCAAAACCTCACTTCGACTGTCTGATCAAAACAGGTCACAGCTCTCGTTCAATGGAAATTCAGCAAGAAATAATTTATCTAGGCATCAAAACACAAAACATATTTTGTGTTAAACTGAACCCAGCGGTTTCACCTTTCAGGTCAAACAAGAAATGAAATCACAAATTGATTCCAAACAGACAAAGATTTCAGAATCGCATTCATACTGGCAGGTAAGCCTGAACTTACTCATACACTGGCAGATTTGGATTTAGAAAATGTATTCCATTCACTCAACAAGTTTGCTTCTGACAGCAAATGTGACGGGTATCTCTCAAAGAAAAAAAGGAAAAAACAAAACAAAAACAAAAAAAAAATTGTTTAAGGAGTCAAAAAACATGCATCTGTTTTTTATTGAAAATTATTTATGCCTTTGTCAACAATCAAGGACACATCAGTTGAGCAGACTTTATATGTTTCCACTGAATTTAATGATTTATCTTTGAAGATGAGCTCCAATGTTCAAGGTTAAAAGATTACTTTAAACTTAAATCTGTCTGATCTCTTCAAATTTTGATGCAGAGATCAATATCTGAACCCCAAAAATCTGGATTGGAGCACATCTAGATCAGAATGAACCTAGCATGATGTCTAGTTCAAAAACAGACCATGTTGGTACACAGTAGTAGAAAAGAAACAGCAGCAAAACAAACACTCACACAAATCCATGTTCATTCCTTACCTTTGTAGTTGATCTTAAATCCTATAGATCCAACACTCTCATCTGACTGGAGGTGGAGCCACATCTGGTGGGTCATGCTGACAATCAGGTCAGGCACAAAGCTGCCTGATAAGCTGGAGCACAAAATGCATCACTATTAAATTGCTGTCATCGTAATTACCATTATAAAAAGTACAATTTTCATCACTGCAATCAGTTTCTCAAGTGATCTTTGGAGTGTGAATAAATAGCTTGAACATACTAAACTGGAACTCAAAGCTTTGAATAACGCTTTAACACGTTTGAATATTTTTGATTGAACATACAATGCTGCTTGAAACCAACTAAATAAAGATGTACAATTTTAAAACTTCTCCAACGTCATTGAACAGTCAAAACTGAGTTGCTTTTTTATGCATTCATGAATAATATTTAAAAAACAGAAAAAATAATTATACATGTTCCATGAATCAAGTTGCCAAAAATCTGAGCAGCTTAAGTGATTGAAATTAAAATCAAGTTCTAAAATGAAAAATAATGTTAGAAAAATAAAAAAACATAACTACACATAATATGTTTTTGTCTGATCTGTGATCATGTGAAAAATAATTTTTGCTGTAAAAAAAAAATTACATTTGAAGGCAACAGTTACCATATAGCACATTCATATTGTTGTGTTGATGCTTTTGTGCTATACTATATTCTTCCACTCCATATTTCTTAAGTTCTACTTTAAAAAAAAAAACACAAAAAGTGAAATGAATGGCATTAAGCCAGAAAATGAAATCATATTAGGAGGATAACATAATACTTACACCTGAAGTATAGTTGTAGGATCTCCCACCTCTCCTCCATCTCCTATAGTCAGAGTGTCATAGGCTATCTCCAGGTCAAACTCCTCAAAGTTGATTTGGATCACCTAACACAAAAAATTAATGCATTCAAATTTCAGTTGAAAGTGATTTTTTTAAAATTATTATTATTTTGTTGACCATTCAATGCACTTTTGCAAAAGTGACATTCACCCATTCTCAAATAAACATGATAAATAAGCAGTGTTTCATCTGCTTGTAAAATCAGGTCCAGGACTTTGGTCAGTATGAAACACAAAAACCCATCTGACTAAAACATATTCATTTAAACTACACTGTCAATGTACCAGGGAAAACTTTGCTCATATGACACAGGTCAACATGGGTTTGATGAAACCCATGCTAATCTGAATACAAAGTTTGTTTTCCTACTGTCATATAAAGTGCATCTCTCTCAAATGCCCAAAGATGAGTCATGTGAATTTCTTGATAAAGATCGAAGAGGAGCACCTACGTTCAGCTGTCAGAGCTGTGAGAAACGGCACACAGCTCAAAAGTCTGATCAGAAATTATTAAACCACACTTTCAGTTTCATCTAAGACCAGAGAGAAACACATTTGGCAGTAGAGAAGAGAGAATGGTGAGAGATTTGACGGAGGGAAACGAAGAAGATGGAGGCAGATGGAAATGTGGAGAACAGAGGAAAAGAGCAATGTGGGGGAATAATGAGAACATCTTTGATGCTCTGAGAGTAGAGGTTGAGAATATTTCAAACTTGAATTTTGACCTGGGCCTCGGGGAAGATTAAAACTGCACTTTACCACCTCCTTCCTTTTGCCTTATTTCAGATTTCCTGATTCAATATTCTGAGGGTGGACTTCAAAAATATCTAAAAAAAAAAAAAAAAAAAAAAAAAA